GATATGCACATGGAACTGCATTAATGCTAAGGATCACCATGGACCTACGATAGATACTTGTTACTACTAATGTACTAATGTGTAGGCTAACTCATGTTTATAATGCTCCTAAATTTTTCCATTTCTCTAATCTTCTTAGAAAAAGAATTTTTTTACACACTCTTAAAAACTCTATATAATAACTTCATTCTGAATTTGAATCCTATTCATATCTGAAAGATGTAGGGTTCTTTGTAAAAAGGCATTCTTTATCTTATGAGCTAAAGTATACAATTTTCATTCTTATTTTTAAACATTAAAATCAGTGAAATTATACATGGTGCAAGTTATTCATATAAATCAGGGGTTGCAACGCTTTATGTAGTTATAAATCAATTTTGCTGCACTGCACTAACCCTGATGTTAAAAAGTAGTGACACTCCAGGCTGTTATTCTTTGCCTTTAACAAGTTGATTTCAGAGACTAAAATCCTGGTGTCAGTCTCTGTAGATACTGGATGGAATCTCCTTTACAGGGAATGTTTCCCCTATCATGTTTTCTTTTCTCAGAGTCCCATTTTTTCTCCACTAAATACCCACTCATTTATTTATTCATTCATTTTGCCAGTCATGTCTACCATGTGTGTTTGCTGCTGTACTGCGCACTTTGAGACAAACAGGGGATAGCCCTTTCCTTAAAGTAAGTATTTCCAGGCATTTACTAAGGTCAATCTATTATTCATTATTTATTTAATTACCTTAACAATCTTATCAGGTAGATACCATGATAATCTACTCATATTTTATAGCTGAAGCAATCTCTTGTCCTCATTCAATTAAGTAGGTAAAATAGGTACATAATATAAAGAGGAACAATATCAATATACTAAAATTAGTGGTACACCCTAGAGCTGTGGAATTTCAGAAAAGATGAGACTGATGTGGGTTGAAGTGTTCAAGAATGACCACATTAAGGAAATGAGACATGAGCTGGCCCTGAAGAACAGAAGGGGGTAAAACTCTGATGATGACTGGAAGAGAGGGGCTGGGCGATTCCAGTCTGAGGGATAACAGGGACAGAGATTCAGAGGTTAGAATAAACATGATTATTCTTTTGTATCAACAAGGGATTTGGTACAAGAAGAATGGAACACTGTTGGAATGAAATGGATGGCACTTAATATTGGACTGAGAAATGTGGATTTTGTCCCTTAAGTAATAAGGAGGCAATTAAGGATTCTAAGAAGGGAACTTCTTGATTTGGGGTAAGGCTTTGGGTAGGAAGCAGTAAAGTTAAGGTTGGAAAGAGATAAGTATTTATTCTCTAAAAGGGGAGTGTTATAAACTGAGGGCCACAAATCAATTTCTAATTGTCAAGTCCAAAGTGTCTGCTAAGCATTCATCTACAACTGTAGTTATTTGAAGTTTTGACTGAGTTGAACACCCTCTCCTTTTTGAAACTTTCTTTTCCTTCTAGATGTTTAAATTATTTTTTCTATCCTTAACATCTTCTTTCCTTCAGTGCATTTGATTTTTCTCCCTACCCACCCAGAGCCCTGGCCTCAACTTTCTACTTGTTCAATAAATATCTTCTCAGCTGCAAATCTCATTGTCCCATGATGTTAAATACCATCTGTGTATATATATATATATATATATATATATGTGTGTGTATATATATATATATACACACACACACATGAGTTTCAAATCACTATCTCCAGCCTTGGCATCTTCGGTTTCATTTTCAATGGACATTCTTACATATGTGTCTAACTCTTACATGAAAATCCTTATGTCTAAACACCAGCTCAATGGCTCCTCAAAACGGAATCCTGTATATCTAGAATAGCAAGTACTGCCTTATTCTACTGTTGTTAAGTTGCCGTTGTGTTGATTCTTACTGATGGTGACCGATGTATTACAAAGTAGAACTGATCCATAGGGTTTCCTTGACTGTAATCATAACAGAAGCAGATTATCAAAACTTTTTTCCACCTTACCACTGGGTGGGTTAGAATCACCAACCTTTAAGTTAGCAGTCTAGAGCAAACCATTTGTGCCACCTAGGGACCTTCTCGAGAGCTCTGGTGGCATAATGCCTAAGGCATTTGATTGCTAACCAGAAGGCTGATGATTCAAACCCACCAGCCACTCCTCGGAAGGAAGATTGGGCAATCTGCTTCTGTAGAGATACTGCCTCAGAAACCCAAGGAGAGGTCGCTATGAGTGGGGTCTGACTCTACAGCAGTGAGTTTGGTTTTTTGTTTTTGAGGGACCTTCTCAGCATATTCTATTGTGCTGGTTATGTGCTATTGAGTTGATTTTTAACTCACAGTGACCACATGTGACAGAGTAGAACTGCCTATAAGATTTTCTAGGCTGTAATCTCTATGGGAGCAAGTCACCAGGTCTTTCTCCTGCAGAGCCATTTGGTGGGTTTGCACTACCAACCTTTTGGTTAGTACCCAAGTGCTTAACTACTGCACCACCAGGGCTCCTTTGCCATATTCTAGACACCCATGGCCACGTTGACTGCGTTACTGAGAGAATCAATTGGTTATTAAGAAGTTATGGTGTTAATTTCTCCACTGTCACTACCCTAGGTCAAGCTTTTGTTTTGTTTGTCATTTTATACCTGACTAACTACAATGAGTTCCAGTTGGTCTCTTAAAATTTTTGACCCACGGAAATCATGGTAGTATAATATGACCTAGAATCTTTTTGTTTGATGCTTTATCTCTCTACCAAATTAAACGTCCAGTTTTATTTCGCCTGAAATGCTCTGTAGGGCCCTATGCTTTAATGAAACCCGTTTACTCTTTATCCTCTGAATAGATAGCATACTTTCCTGCCTTGGCTCACACACCCTCCTCTGCTAGAAAGCCCTCCCTCATTCCTCTATAACTATAGAAAATCTACTCAGTTCAAAGCCTTAACCGAATTCCCACCTCATAGGTTCTCTCCTACTTCTGCAATTCCAAAGCATTATGGTGGCTGCCTTTTTTTTTTTTTTTTGCATATTTGTTCCATGTTTTCACTCATTGTTCATTATTTTCTCATGCATGTTAGTCTCATCTTCCAAATTAAATAGTGACCATATTTTAGTCTTCCTGGTCTATCTTCCACATACACACATGGTAACTATATAGAAGACACTCAATAAATACAAATTGATTGATTGAATAAATATGAATTGTAAGAAATAGTAAGTAACATGAGGAAGGGAGATTTTAAAGCCTGGTGAAAGGGCATTCAAATTGATTTTTAAATTTTCTGAATAGGAACAATATTTATTAACCTCACTTTAGATTCTAGGTGTATAAAACTGCTAGTACATTGTCACTTTGTGGGGTAAATTTAATTTTGGAACACTTTAAATGTTTATAAAGGTAATAAAAATAGCTTTTAATTATTTGAAGTTGAAATATAACATTTATTTTTAAAAGGAAAATGCAACCATTTCTGACCTTATGAGTTGGGACATCATAAAAATTTTCTAATTCATAGTATCTTTTTAATATCATACTTTTATATAAAGTTATTTGGTATTACTCCTATTTTGACATGCTCAGAGTAGCCCTGACACATAAAATATTAAAGTTAGAAAGATTCTTAGCACAAAAATTCAATCTATTCATTTTTCAATTTATTCATTCATTCTGGTGTGGGTCTTGAGCTCCAAAGAGAGTAAGTGATGTGCCAAAGGTTACATTTTGAGAACTGTCTAGAAATTAGGATTCTTGTTTCCCAAATCTGTAACTTTTCTATAACCACATGTTGTACAGTTTCATCTTTGTACCTGAAATTAAGGGACATTATTCAAATGAGAAAAAATTACAATAGTTTTTCATTATTTCTCCTACTTTACCCCCAAGAAAATGAATTAGTGCCTTTTAAGTTATTTATAAGAGCATTCTAAATAGAAGCACAGCATGAGCAGTTATGATGTGTATCAACATAAGAGAGAGATGACTATCATCTTGATTATTTACAGTTATAAAATTTCATAAAACTGCATTTTTCCATTGGTGATTGGGTCGAAGTAATCATGTGATTTTTTTTTTTTTTTTTTAAGTTTTGTTTTGGAAGATTATTTTATACTGGTCATTATGCTAATATTTGTAATGGTAGTGTGGAGGACTGTTTGAAACACCAAAAATAATTAGTTCCATCCAGGAAAAGCGAGATAAACATAGTGAGTCAACCTAAATTTGAGTTGGTGACATGAGAATATGTGAAAAGATGCCATTCAGTTTTAGGGAAAGAATATGGAATTTCACAACTGTCCTGAAACTCCATCCTATAGCAACAGCAGAGTAAAACAAAAACACCACTTAAATGTTTCCCATTGTAACTTTTCAGCTAAAAGATGCAAAGAACTTAAAGTGCAGAAAGAATAAAAAGGAATGGGAGTGATGAATTTTTTTGTGAGGTATATTTGTTGGTTTGCTTTCTGAAACAAATTATTTTCCAATATAAGTGACACCTTATGATTTGAATTTTCCATAACTGATACCCAGTGGTGACCAGGAGAGGCATATCATATTCTAATTTTAAAGTTATTTATGTTGTTGTTGTTATGTGCCATCGAATTGGACCCGACTCATAGTGACCCTTCATTGGGTTGCCGAGGCAGTATCACTATGGAAGCAGATTGCCCCATCTTCCTTCCGAGGAGTGGCTGGTGGGTTTGAACTGCCAGCCTTCTGGTTAGCAGTCAAGTATCTTTTTATGCAATCTTTAAAAATGATGACTGTAAGTTTGCCCAATCTATGCTAGGAAAGAATCTATTTTTTAGTTCAGTATTTTTGACCTTCAGAAGCAAATTGGGGTATATGGATGAAAGATATATTTGATGAATAAAATACCAAAATGTAGAGAACTCTGCTTTGAAACAAAAGTCTAACTTAACTGTTAAGTCATGGGATACAAATAGATGGGGCAGTGTTTCTTTCTCTGACTCACAGAATGCACATGACACAGGACAAATAGGATCTTGGCGTGATAAACTTAACTTACCTGTACCATTGTTAATTGTGGTCTGGATCGTGGCTTCTGGCCCCATAGTGTCATAGTCTTCCTTCATTTCTTCTGTAGAGAAAAATTATCTTTAGCATTTGAAAACTGTAGAAAGGCTTACTATACACTAAGCATGCCAACCACAGGAACAAGGAAGATTCTTTTAAAGGAAACAGAGAAAAGGCTTGTTGTAAACCTCTAAACAATAGCTTTGTTCAGGCAAGTGAATGAATCCAATAGTGCTAGCTTGCACAAGAACTTATTTACTTTAAGCATTACTGCAAGCTGTGAAAAACAGAGGTGCTTATTTGGGGTAAACGAAGGGCTTTTTTTCTGGTGGCAGTTCCAGTGACAAACAGGGGGAAGGATATTATTTTTTCAAGAAGAGTCAAAAGCAACTAAGTATCTGTAGTTATGAAGAGGCATACTAGCTGGTATGCCTCTGGTAATTCTGCATGCTTCGTGACAAGTCAGAATTTCTTATTTTATTTTCATGCTTTTTTGTTTTTCTCCCTTGGGGTAGCTCTGATTGTTCTAATCTATGCAAGAATTTTTTTTTTTTAAACCTAAGTCTACATATCAAAATTTGGAATGTTCAGTTTATATAACAAGCATCCCAGAGGTACTGAAAATGAATGCCCACTGTTTCCAAATCATACCTTCCTTATTTCTTTCCACACCATTCCATAAATACCTGTTCCTTTCTATCCCAACAGATAATCATAGTCATTTCTGAAGGGAAAAGTATATAGATGTAACAACAGTTTATTGTTCTTATAAAGATGAAAATATGTAACATTTGAAGTTGAAGATTAATAAATGATAAAGGGTCATTTTCATCACTGTAGTATTTTAAAATAAGACAGAGTTTGAACTAAGAGAGAACTCTTGAAATTTCTGCCTACCAAATTGTAGAGGATGTGAGAATGCAGAGGACAGCTGACAGTGAAAATCCTTCCAGTTAAGTAAATTAAACATGAACTTTTAAATATCATATTTTTAAAATAGCAATATTGATGAGAACCAAATATGATTCAGGATTAATATTGCCATGATAATAATCATTTTACTTAAAACAAGGAAAACATAAATAGGGCTCTGTGAGTTCCCAAGTTTATCGTGACATTCTTTGCTTATCACATTCTAGTCATAATTGATAGAAAAACAGTTCCTAGCAAATGCCACAGCAAAATTAAAATACATAATCATTTTTAATTGGTGGTTTTACAAGCAGTATCTTGCTATTGGTTTATGGGCCCAGAGCTGAAAAATCACGAGCAGTCTTAAGTTAAAAGACATAGGTATAAACAGATGCTAATTTAATGCCACTGCACATAACAGTCAGAAAATTTGAATGGTATTTGTTTAAGTTGTACAATAACCTTGATTTCAATCCCAGGCCTGGACTTCTGCCTTGGTTAAGAAATATTTTCACAGGGCTATTTTGCATAAAACATTTAGAAGTTCAATATATAGTAATATAGTATTGTCAATTATAATAATTGATCGGTTGAAAGGTTCCCTCATCTGATATTTTTATCAGTCTCTGCAAGGAATTAAATTAAAGTATTTCTGAGAAGTTCTGTAGTAGATATAAATATAGCTTTTGTGTCTTTCTTCCTCAGTCATCTCATGTGATTTCTGGTAGCCAAGAGTCACAAGAATCATAAGTTTTCCATCTGAGAGCACATCGAGTCACTGAGGGGAAAACAGTTAACAGCATTTTTTTTTTTTTTTTTTTGCATAATAGTGGTAATGTTCAAGATTTCTGCTGTACTTCCTTCCTCATTGTCATTTTCTTATGAAAAAGTAAAGAGAAGTTAGAGTAGGTGGTTGCTTCCCAAATTAATAAATGTTGGGTATGCAAATGTGTATTTGGCACTTGGTCTACATTGCATTCCATTAGCTATAAGTCTCTTTTACCAAAGATTGCATAACTGCGATCTTTCGGAGATGTTAGATGAGATGGTGTCACTTTTACTAGGAATGTACTTTGCTTCAATTTACTGAATATCACCCATTTTCTTGTTTCAAGCTCAATTTATTAAGTCTTTTAGGTATTTATTTGAAATTCTACATATACCCACTGCTGTCGAGTGGATTTCCACTCATAGTGACCCTATAGGACAGAGTAGAACTGCCCCATAGGGTTTCCAAGGCTGTAAATCTTTACAGAAGCAGACTGCCACATCTTTCTCCAACAGAGCAGCTGGTGGATTCTAACCTCTGACCTTTCAGTTAGTCTAGCACTTTACCCACTGAACCACAAAGGCTCCTTAAATCCTATGTATGTTCTTATTTAATTAAATTTCAAGGAATCCATATTCAGAAGAACATAGGCATGTGTAATTTAGGAATATGTCCTCTGAATTAAGGCAGTCCTGGCTGTCTTTCTGCCTCATGCATAACCTTAAACATTTTGCAAGACACCTCTGACTCAGCATACTGCGTCTAAAACCACAGTGTATTTATTTTTTAAACACTTGTAAAAGTTTGCGTTTTCCAGCCACCCTTGGGATGAAGGTTTGTAAAAATAAAGAGCACTTTCTTCCTTGAGGTGAAGAATCCTTGAATAAGCAGAAAGAGGCCTAGATGCAGGTGATTTATTTAAGTCTGTGTCAATGATAATGATGTCATGGTTTCCAGCACAATGTGTCCACCCCATTGTGGGACGAAAGAATGTCAAGGACAATTCCAAACACAAAACTTTGATTGTGCTGGAACCGGAAAGGCACAGTAAGAACTCCACTGCACTCTTCAGTTCAAAACCTGCATCCTGCAGACAAACTACAGAAAGCATGGGAGAAAGAGCAAAGGAGAGGGGGCTTATCTCAGAGTAAAGCTATGTGCTGAGGTATGATGGTAGACAGCCAGGCACCAGGGATAAAACACTACTAAATAAAACAGCACCAGAATTAGAATTATTGTCTATATTGTGTGTTTTGAACAATAAAAAAGAAAAATATTTTATCAGAAGAAAAATGTGTTATCTACGAGTCAGGATAAACAATGAGTAGCTTTTTAAGACCAATTTCTTTTCATTAGACATCAAGGCACCACATCAGAGCACTTTTAGAACAATAATAAAAAAAAAGAACAATAAATCATTACTAATGATTAGAACTAGACAGGTAATAGCTGGGTAACTTTCTTGGTCCAAATAGCCAAATGAGATTAGGGATTTACATTTTATTTAATTATTGTGATTCCAGAATGCTAGTTTATTTACCATAAAGGTAAGAGCGAAGAGCAGCCTGGACATTTGTATCACAGGCACCATTAACTACAGGTGATAAGAGCGTCTGCAATGCATTCATATGGATTACTGTATATTAAAACATTTAGCATTATGATCCATGACCACCACATAAAGCTGCCACAATCACAAAGTACAACTATACTGACACTGTGGTTTTGGCTGTTTTTCAACTATTTATCTTAATTTTTTCAAATTAAACTTTTTTTTTTTTTAAGAAGTTTGGAGCTCTACATTTGTTATATCATTATTAATTATTCCTTTAAGGGTAGAAATTCTAGTAATTGGTCCTTACCCTTGATTTCTAGATATTAAAATTTAAAGCATCAGAACATTCATTCTTATAGCCCTGCATATCTAGTTCATTAACAAATATGAATAGCTAACACCAGCTCATTTAAATAGTATGTCTTACATGAGTTCTCGCCACACTCTGTTTCTGTCACACTGCTCCCAAGAATCATTGGCTCTTATTATACATGTAAATGGCTATCATAAAAATAAAAATTTCATTTAAGATTGTTAATGACTTCTGCAGCAGTCAGACTTCCTTTAATGATCATCCTCTGCCCCTAATTAAACGTATTTATCTTTCAAGCATCTTTGGCTGAGTTCTCCCTCATAGTTGAAAATCTAAAACCTTAAGTCTTAATGGATATAACGATAAATGTTTATGTGTGGGATTGCTGAGATTCGAGAAACCTTCACCGAAAGCAAAATTGGAAACAGAAAGAGTACAAAACTTGGCACAGTGTGTTAGGAAAAGGAAAAACAAACACACTACGCTCAAACTGCCATCAGTCTTTTCTCTTTTTCTTCCCCCCCCCATTTAATTTTCTTTAGTAGTGAAAATGCTTTTATTATCCTCCTTCCAGTATACCAAACAATTCGTCTGCCTACGTTTGATGTTTTATGGTCTGCGACATCACAATAGCATATAGGTAGACTCTTGTGCTTACTTATTTCCTTCCCACCCACTTTACCAATTTATAAAAATGCTATTGTTACTCATATCGTAAGAGAAAAAGCAAGGTGGGGTAAGTAATTGTAGCTCACATTGAGTCCTGGGAATAGAAATCAAGGAGACATGAAAGTATAGAGAGATCTTCTTGCTTGGTTTGGTTTTTATAATTTTACAGACTTCCTTAACAGGTACAGATGACAGAGGGAGTTTATGAGAATAAGAGTAATTCTCCTTCTATTTTGTTAGTCATTTCATATCTTAGTGATGCTCCCTCATAAGTGAATTTTAGACTAAGAATATTTCATTTACACAGTGGCATCTGAAGTTTTGTTTGAATGTAATTTATCTTATTTTTTATGATAGTTGGCCTAGAATCATTTTTACCTCCCTTGAGATTCCCACCAAATAGCAGGAATCATTATCAAGTACTTAGCTGTTAAATAATAAGAAAGCTACCTGACCAGGTAAATGTGTGAAATCACATTCACACTTAACAAAAGAGAATGATTAGATGGTTGAATTACAATAGAAGGTGTCAGACAGAGAAACTACATTAAACTGATAGCTATTTGATTTGAAATGCTGCATAATTTCCACATAAAACTTTGAAATACTTATTAGTTGTGAGTTTTTATATTTGCCTCCATTTTCCATCATGAAAGTATAGATCTTGATCATGTTATACGGTTTGCAGATTGTCAATGTGGTGGCAAATACTTCATGTTATGTGTTTAAAGTGTAGTTCATATTCAACTTGCTTCAAAACCAAAATATAATCCCTTCCTAAGATGTAAGTGCCGTAATGTGATCACACTACTATCACTTCATAATCTGTCACCAGCTTTGGTATCTCTATTCTGCAAGGGTGATGGGAAAAATTATTTTAATTATTTGATTATGGACGCTCCACTAGGTAGCAGAGATTAGTTTAAGATAGCACAGGAAGGAGCCACGAAGTTTTAGATACTGACCTGGACCATCTACAGAGGCTTGGAGAATCTCACTGTTGTGCCAGGTATGTTCTACTCCTCCCTCCCTTATCTCATCTTCCTCTTCCTCTCTTGGCAACAGAACTTGGCTCACGTGTGGGGAGGACTCATGGTTGGGCATGCTTGCTGGACTCGTCTCCTGGTCCAGAGAGTTAGCAATCCCATCATCCTCAGCAATGTGCAGCTTGTCCTCCTCATCTGTTTCAGAACCCGTATCCACTACATTGTCATAGTTCACCA